AGGACCCCCAAGGTGTGTCTGTCTCCCTCACCTATGTCAGTCTGTCTTGCCGACGCCCCTTTCCCCAGACAGCACTCTGGCTGTCTTTCCCTTGATTCTGCCTGTCTTTGCCTGTCTTCTCCGTTTCCTCCTTTTCTCTCCCTTCCTTCAGGCCTGTCTCATTTTTCCCACTGTCTTTGCCTCCCCTCCTTCCTCTTCTCTCCCTCAGCCAACTCCACCCTACCCCTGCTTCTGCTGCTCTGTCTTTGCCCTCTGTCTCTCTTCTGTCCCTAACTCCGTCTTCCCACATCTGGTTTCTGCAGCCACTGTCCCCCGCACCAATCCGAGTTGCTGTCTCATTTGCTGTCTCTCATCTCTCCCATCATCTCTCTTTGAGTCTCCACTTCTCCCAGTGTCTTCCCACCGACATCTTCTGTGTCATTAATTAGTCTGACTAATGACACGCGAGCCCGTGTCAGGCGGGAAGAGCTGTGGAAATGGGTGGAGTGGACCAGTGGGGGGCTCTCCCCACAGCCCAGAGCTATTTATAACCCTAGTGGCCTGAGACCCACCCTTCTCCCTCTTCCACAGGCCTCCTCCCTAGCATTCAATAAATGGTAGCTATGATTTTGATTATGATCATTAAACAATGATGCTTTCTGGAGTGTCCAAATGCCATCCCATGGATTCACCAGAGCAGGCACCATTTTTATTCTTTTGCATAAAGGGTATTTGTCCAATATCCAAGCTTGGGTAATTTAAGATTTGAGCATTGTTAAATGTTCACATAAATAAATTTGCAAACCAAGGCAGAAAAATAATAGCAATGATTTATTATGAATGCTAAACTTACATAGCAGTTACAGTGCACCAGGCATTGCTCTGAGAGCTTCTCATATAGTAACTCACTTAACTCTCACAAGCCACAAGCACCCCATGCTATTGTTATTCCCGTGAGAGATGGAAAACCATCCCTAGGCCGCCAGCTGCAACTTCTAGGCTGGAAAACATGGCCATGGACATGGAAGGTCCATGATCATCTCACTTAGGGGTGGACAGGTTGGACAGGAGCAGGGAGATTCCAAAAGGACACAGGAGAGGACACATGTTATCTGAGTGAATGCTCAGTGCCAGGCAGGCCCCAAATCATGCACATGACACATATTATCTCCTTTATTCTTTGTAACAATAATACAAAATAACAGCTAACACTTAATGTGTGCTAAGTGTCATTAAGTATGTGCCAGGCACAGCATTAACGCTTTATAGGTATTAACTAATTTAATCCTCTCAGTGACGACATGAGGTCAGTATTATTATGCCTATTTTACAAAGGAGGAAACTGAGGCACAGCTCATAAGGAACAGAACTGGGGTTCAGACCCAGGCAGTCTGGCTTCAGAGTTTATGCATTTAACTATCAGAATGTGCTGCCTCAGAGCACGGGAAACCTTAGGAAATTAAAATCTGAACCAAGGCTGAGACACATCCGGTCTCCTTATGGGCCTGAGAAAGTCAGGGATACGTGGGCACTGTGGCCTGGGCAGGAGTACAGGATAGGCTCTGCTGCTCCACAGTCTTGAGACTCAGGGAGGACGGGGGGAGGGTCAGGCTACATAGGAGATGGGGGATGAGGGGCTGCCACAAAGGCTGGGAAATTATAGGTTGAAGCTGTCCGATGGATTTATAGGCAACTGACAAGGCCTGAAGTCCAGCAGAGAGGGTGCTATGTGCATGGGGCTGACAGGGGTCAGTTTAGCGGTAGGGAACCTAGAGCAAAGCAGACACGTGTGGTGGACAACATGAGCACTTGGGAGCTATGCAGGGCTCAGGGTCTATAAAATATTGAGTTGATGACCCTAGTCTCCTAGAACCTCTGGGAGCCTTAAAGAACCTAAAATACAGAATAGTTAGGGTGAGTCCATAAGGGGCCCTTGGAATGTATAAGGCCTCTGGTTCTATCTGACACATGGTGGGTCTACACGCATCAGGGGTCACACATGATCATGAAACCATAGGGAAAGTGGCCAGTCTATGGGACCTCTGGAGACTTAAATGGGGACCAGAATTTTATAGGGGAGGGTGGTGGTCCCCAGACCCAGGATCTACAGGGCCCTGGATTCTAGGAGATGCTACTGATCGATGGGGACTCCATGTCTGTAAGGAGCCGGGTCTCCACAGGGGGCCAGCAGAAACCTGGGGTGTATGTAGGATCTTGTAATCTACATGGAACGTGGAGGGTCTACACGAGCCCCCAAACCTACATGGACATGGCGAGTCTAAACGGGCCCCAAATCCTACAGGGGACGTGGCGATGCGCACTGCCAGGGATGCTGGGGCAGACGTGCGGAGTCAGGGTATGACACCCGCCGGGGGCCCGCTTCCCTCACCTGCTCCGGGTCGGAGAAGCCACCGCAGCTGCCAGAACCGAAGCCTCCGCGCGCCGGCTCCGGGCTCCCCCACCCCCGCTTCCGAGTCGCTCTAGCCGCCCCAGAGGCTACCTTTGAGTCCAGCTCCACTCCTCCCGCCAGCCGCTCTAGCCTGCCTCCTGCCAGAGGACTCTACTCCTCCTGCAGGCCGCTCTAGCTCTCCACTGCGCCACGCCACGCTGGCCCGATAGGGCCGCTCTGGCCTGCCTTGGAGGCCTGGCGTTTCCTCATCTCGACTGCTCCCGTTACTCCCCTGGGCCCCGCCCCTGCCTCGCCCCCACCTCCGCGGCCCGAGGTGAGGATGGTTCCACCCCCAACGCCAAAACTCAATCTGAGATCTCCAAGTCACCACGGCCTTTACTTAGTTCTCGGACTGGGTTCCCCGCCCTATCTTGCCTCCCTAACTCGGGGACCAAAGTTGATTTCCCAACGCTCGTCCATTAGTTCTCCCTGCATCCTCCCCACCCCACCACGGCACTGTCCGCTGGGGCTGGAAAGCAAAAATCCTGCATTCAAGCGTACCTTTCCCTCTGACATGCTGTGTAACCTGGAGTATGCAATTACTTCTTTCCAACCCTCAGTCTTCCCATCTATACAATGGAGGAAGATCTCCAGCTCTATGCCCTACAATCCAGATCTCGGTATAATTAATGGCCCAGAAAAAAGAGCTTCCCAGAAACGCTTTCAAAGGCGCTCCGCAACTTTCAGCTTCACAGCGGCCTACGACGTTGTTAACTGTTGTTTTTCTTTTTAGGTGGTCCTAAAGCATGCGGGGTTGGAGGATGGTGCCTAGCGGAAAGCACCTGCGAGTTCAAATCCCAACTCCACTCGGTCTCACGACGTGTGCCCTGGGACGAGTCGGTTCTGCTATCTGGGCCTCAGTTTCCCCACCCGTGCAGTGGGAGTGATCATCTGTCCTCCGCTGGACAGTTGGGAGCCTTGACCCCGGTCTCGCATGCCTCACCCCACCTATCGGGCACTCTGCGGGCTCTTTGCCCCCTTTGACAGATGGGAAAACTGAGGCCCAGGGAGGGGCGGCCTCTGGCTCAGGGGTGCCCCCAAGAGGCCCCTCCACTGCCGGCAGCGCCTCAGCCCCCTCCCTCCTCCTCCCACTTCCCCGAGCAGCCAAGGGGAGGAGGCCGGGCGGGGCCACGGACGGTGTACCTGGTGTCCGCGCAGGGAGATGACCGGCGGGGCGCCCGAGGTCGGGCTCGGCGATCCCGGGCCCTGTGTCCGGGCTCCCGCTTCCTGGCTCTGGCGGGGCAGGAAGTTGGGGCGTTTTTCCGGAGGCCCCCGCCCCGCCGCCCCTCCCCGCTTCCTGCCCGCGCCCCGCGCCCGCCCGGCACCTCCGCTTCCTTCCCCTTCTCTCAACCCGCCCGGCCCCGCCTTTCCCCGCTCCGCCCGGGATCCACGGGCATCTGCACCGCCCCGACCCCGCCCGACCTCTCCCGGCTGGGTCTGTCCGTCTGTCTGCAGGGCGTGGTGTCCGCCATCACCTCCCGGCGGGGCTGGGGGAGAGTCTCTCCCTGCGCCCTCCTCGGCCTGCGCCACAACCTCCCTGCCTTCCGTCTCTGTGTGTCTCTCTGTCTTCCTCTCTCTGTTTCTGTCCGTGGCCCTCTCTCTCTGATTCTTTCTCTCCTTTTCTCCGTTGGGGTCTTACCCACCGGTTCCCCGTTGTCCTCTCTGTCACATTCTCCCTGGGAGCTCTTCTCTTCCCATCTCTGTGTCTCTGCATCGCCATCTCAGTCATTTCCCCACCTGTTATTTTCCCTGGAGTCGCAGGGGTCACCCTCTCCGTGTCTGTTTTTCTGTGGACCCTTCTTTCCTTTCTGACTTTTTCTGCTGTCTCTCTCTATCTCAGTATCTCTGTCATTATCTCTCTGTCTCAGTCTTTCTCCCCTCTCGATCTCAGAAACTCTACATCTCTATGCCTCTCTGTCATTGACCCAGGGTCTCCCCACCTTGCCCAAGTTAGGGCCACAGACTGCCAAGTCCCCTGCCACAAATCCACTCCCAGAGAACAGGAGTGACCATAGAATTTGGTACCAGTCCTACCAGGTAGTCGCCTGTGATTCTGGGACATAGATACACATAAATAATTATGGTCACCTCCATTCCCCGCTTTGTCCCCTCCTGCTGAGGGAAGACATGGCCTTGGGTGGAATCCTTCCCAAGATACTTCCTGTTTCTCTCAGGGTGCAGCCAAGACTGGCTACCTGGTCCCAGGTGTGGGGAGTGGGCAGCTGCTAGGGGCTCAGAATCCTGGGTCTGGGGGAGGAGGGGCTGGTGGCCTGGACTCCTGGGTCCCAGGGGAGGAGGGTGGGCAGTCCCCATGAGATCCATGACTCCTGCGAAGGTCTGCTGTTGGGAAGGATTTATTATCTCTAAGTGGCCATGACAGAGCCGGGAGGGGGGAGGTGACGCTAACAAGGCTGCTATAATCAGCTCCCCTAGAGGCAGCGATTAAGGGCTCATTACCCGCTGGGTGGGTG